CAGAAGATATCTTCCCCGAGCAGCAAAAATGGGTAACAAAACTTCTTAGATATGATTATGAAATAACTTACAAAAAGGGGAAAGAGAATGTTGTTGCTAATGCGCTTTCACGGCTACCCAAGCAAACTGAATTTTTTGTTATTTCACTTTCGACTAGTGACTTCCTTAAAGATATTAAGAGGGAATGACAGGAAGATTTGGAGACTAGTAAAATCATAAAAAAAAATTGGAGAAAGCACCAAGCTCGAACGCTCATTACAATTGGGACTCAAAAGAATTACGCTATAAGAGACGCATTATGCTTGTGACAAATTCTACTTGTATCTTCACGAACAGATTTTGGACAAAGTTATTCCATATGCATGGTACTAAATTGAAAAGGAGTACAGCATATCACCCACAAACCGACGACCAGACGAAAGTTGTAAATAGGTACTTTGAAACAGTCCAAAGCCATCCACTAAATATGACTACCTAAGGAGAACTCCAAACCCAACCAAGTGTCATTATTGATCGACAGATTGTGACTCGACGACGACGACCCACTACTGAAGTGCTAATACAATGGGTGAATCTACCAACAGAAGATGTCACTTGGGAGAACTATGACGACTTAAAGATCAAATTCCCAAAATTCATGAATCGTTAGCCTCAAGGACAAGGCTGATTTGAAGATGGCAGGTTTGTTATGACTCTAGCTAGGAGAGTCCTAATTGAGATGGATATTCATATAAAACCTACCTAAGTCGACCCCTATTAAAGAGGTGAAAAGACCGACTAAGGTTAGGAGGTTATTTCTTAGAGAAAAATTAGGAGTTGTAAATGAATAAGAGTCTTGAATAGAAGTCCTATTATGAGTTTGTTAGAAATAGGAGTTAAGATTTAGAAGCATTATAAATAGTCATATATTTCTTCTCTTTTCATAACCAATAAATAAATCTTTTCTATAACCTTTGAACAACAATTTAGAAGGAAAAACCCCTATAGAATTCTAAAGAGGCCGATCCCCTAAAGAAATCAACCCTAAATTTAGAATCTACAATGGTTCTAACATATTCTCTCTCCCTTATTTTTGAATCAATGGATAAGGGCTGTTCTTGTTCTACCAAAAACCACAAATTAGTGATTTCAATTTTTTCCACCTCGGTTCAACTGCATTCTACTTGGCAACATCATCTTACTCCATCCAAAAATTCTACGATAAAAATACACCAATTCCAACTCTAAGTTTCCACCCCAATTAAATGACTAAACAAACCCATCCTCCTGTTTAAAGCAACAATAGCAAACATTGGTATCAAGAATGTTGCCATGGAATCGCAAGCCTCAACTCGTGGAGTTCAGTCACAGAAGAAGAAGAAGAAGAAGAAGAGAAGACAACATCTGAAAAACATGACTCATCATTCCATAACGAACAACTTCAAATTGATGTTTGCACACTTATACACAAAAACTTCCAACTTGACTCCTTTCCGTGAATCTGATCGTGCAGCCACTCAACAACATTCCACTAGTTCTTCAGAAGCTGAATGTGTGCACAATGAGCGAAACCAGGCACTATATCTACATATGATACAAACCAGATGCAAACATTCATGACGAATGAATCGAGTGCTGACTAGTTCAGATATCGCCTGCAATTTCTTGAGTTACAGAAACACGGGATCTTTTTGCCCTCATCCTCACTGTTGAAGTGGTAGTCGTATGTAATCTCTTCGCCTGGATTTATGTCCCTTTCCGCAAAGAACACCACCTGCATTAATCCAAGGTAATCATTCTTACTGAGAAGTTTGCATCAAAAGGTACTGTTATCATCATCCATTTCTTACCTTTTTCTCGTTCCTGATTGAGATCACTTTGGCAACACAGTTGGGCTGATTGAACAAACAGCACGCAGAGAAAGATAACTCGGTGATCAGAAGTACATGAATGGAGCAAAGGAACGATATAGATAGGGAATAAAATGAGACCAATTACCAGGCATGAATGGTTGACGAATCGAGCGATCCCACCTTTGCGAGTCGCATCGATGATATGCTCCTTGTCTATCCTGAAGAAGTAGCAGGCACTTTTGTACTGGATTCTCCTTCCTGATTGGTACTCAGCTTCTCGCTTGTCAGCTACCCGCAGTCCAACGATCTCACCGACATATTCTACGACCTTCAAATGTTCAATCCTTTCAAAACTAACAGTAGTCCAATGGAGAACATAACAAATCCTGAACACTAGAAATAGTTTGCGAATAGTTACCATAGCTCCACGGGCAATGAACTGCGATGTGTAGAGACCAAGAGCATGAATTCCTGATTTGTAGACCACCAAATGCTTCCATCCCTTCGATTGTTTGTAACGAATATATTCTTTCTGACAAGATAAGAATACCAAGTTAGTTAAAGGATTAACTCAAGACAAGAACAGAACTTTGACATTTAAATGGCTAGCTCGTAATGTGTGAAAGTTCATACATTCTTAGGGACCGCGAAGACCTAACAGGATAACGTACATTTACAATGAAGTTTTCTTATGAAAGCTTGGCATAAATAGAATTCTATATATAATTGATACATCTGAACCAGATTCATCCACATTCCATCGGCTAAGGGCATGTCACAAGAGGTTGCTGCAAAGTTACATGGGCAATCACAGCAGATGCACATCCCCAGAACAAAAAGCTTTGGAATTATGTGAGGGTTAGTAAGCTTTAAGGGTGTGACTGACCATGGAATGTAACAGATTTCAGTCTCTGTTCCTTCTAGAAAATTGGGGATTTTAATAGACAAAATCTAGCCCTGATTTACACCTTAATTTGGAAAATATGATAAAAAAAATACCATAGCACATGCATGCCAATGGAAAAGCATGGTCATCAGGATCTCTGGAAGAATTTGTTTGCAAATTTCAATATCAATCCTCTTCCTTGCATATGATGTACAAAAAAAATTGTACCTTTTCTTCTCAAAAGGAAACACCTTTAGTACAATAAAAAAAAACCTATATGTGAAGATACAACACTCCAATCTGCGTATCATGACAACTTCATATATCCTAATGCACTGTACTTGTTCCCATAAATTGCATAAGCATAGAATCATAATGCTCTCTTTCCATCTAAGTACTAAAATGATCTGGAAACTTCTATAAATTTGCAGAAATAGGTGTCATGTGCAAGTTAAAAATTTGACCATGTGTTCCATTTACATGTGCCAATATTATAAATGCTGTGGAAAAACCAGATTACAGAATATGGCTACAAATTAATTAAAAAAGATCTTTTTCTTAAAAATATATGCTTATGAACATGCAATAATCATGATTGAAGGAAAATAAGTCCAAAATAGTAGAGCTAGATAAATTATTATACATACTTTAGTAAACACAAAGCACTTAACACTATGCCAAATTTATTGGTTATCAATGACAAATTTCATTCACTTCCATTAATACTGTCCCCTGAAATTTACCAACATGATGCATGGTTTTAAAAGACTGCTAATCAAACAAGATTAACAGGTATAAAATTTACTGATACAAATCTGTTAATTAGAACTCCTATGCTGTTGCTGAAGGTGGCCTTCTGATTTGGCTGGCATTGCTTGTACTTTTACTTCTCCAGATGATCAAGGGAGAAATTTGGGGAAAAAAAGCAAAAGCAACTAGCTTGAAGTTGCCTAGTGTATCAGTTGTGTACAATTGTATTGATTTTTTTCAACAATCACTACCAATTTTCATTCTATAAGTTCCTTTCAGAAGTAGGGGAAGATTTTTACATGATGACCAAATTAGTGCCAAACACTACCAAGTAAAAGTGTGTGAATATTGGAATACAATATTCTGATTTTTTATGAACAAGGTGTCAGAGTAAGTGTATGAATATATCTCAGTAAACATTTTCAGGCTAATTAAAACATACCCGGAGGTCATACTCAACATCTGAACATGGCTGTCTCACCACACCTCTTGTACATGACTTTTGGCCATTGATATGAAGCCAGGCATTTATCTGCTCCTGAGAAACAATGCATACTCCATTATCACAGGGTCTCTGAGTGTTAGGTTTGTATCCTTTCTCTCTTTTCCGACCTTTAAAACCCTGTTTAGTTGGTTAGCGAAAAAGTTAAATACATAAAAAGAACAAAAAAGGTATCCAATAAGTTGTCAGACTACCTCTGTGCGAGCACATGTCCATTCGTTGTTCCCTGGACTTTCTTCTTCAGGATCCATAACATGACTATCAGGAAGACAACTATTGAGAGTTGCATGATGTGGACATCTCCCATAAAAGCCAACCCTTTCATTGTCATCACCTTCAATTTCACTTTGCAGTAAACCCTATTGGTGAAATAAATGTTAATAATAACACAAGACGTCATGGTATTGTAGGCAACTAAATAGTCCAATTATGCTATAAGGTGATGAAATATATAATCTTATCCCATACAATGTATAATCTTATCCCATACAATTCAATATTCCACCACTTTAGCATGTGTATAAAAATCTATATAAACTGCATTGGAATCATGTTAATGGTTGTACAAGTACCTAAAGTCTTGATAGTATATAAACAACTTGTCCAATCACGTGAAATATAAGGCAGGCCAAGAATGGCCACACACCACAGATTCAACTTTGTTTTTTTTTTAAGAATCATTATAACTGTATAGTCCATATTTATGATTCAACATAATTCAATATGATTCACTACATTGACTATCCCCCAAACCTTTGTTGGCAAGAATCTCATGCACTAGATCATCCTCTTAGAAAAGTTAATACATTTTAGAGGATGAGTTTTAACATCATTATAAAGTTATTTATTTGCGACCTGGGTTATCAAAAACATAGTTCGCATTACCAATCCATACCGGTATACCAATCAACTATTGGTACAATACATACCGAGTGTATCAACACAGTATACTGGGGGATACTAATGTACCGCCCATACCAATCCTCTATTGGACCGGTATGTACCGCCTATACCGAGCGGTATGCTTTGGTACATAAAACCTTGATCAAGACTAAAGTCACAAGAAAATCTTGTTTATAAATATAAGTTTACTTTCATTGACCCTCCCTAGATCCCAGAGTCTTATGCACTAGGTTTGTTTTCTTTAAGTCCATATTTATGCTATGTGAGCAACTTTCAGCCGCAGCTGTAATAGCAATAACAAGCCGTCTATTGGAATTTCATTTGCATAACAATTAGTCTATAATAAAAGGGAGAAAAAACCTTGAACAGGAAGATGCACATGCACTAGAAAATTATTGGTTATTATGAACTCAATTAGTTCCAACTTAACTGTTAAATGGTATCTTTCCTCACTAGCAGGTGTGTTTAATATGAATGAGAAATAGTGGTTAAAGCCTCAAGTAGAAGTGTCTAAGTGAAGAGCATGAATACTTGAAATCTAGAAGTCAGTTGGACACGACAGTCCAACGAAGTGTGACTACCATCAAAACATTAAGCAGGCACAAGCTGAGGAATTCAATTTATTGCCAATCTCTATTGTGCATGATGTATGTCATCTAATGTAGAAACATCAAAATATGTCAATGCTCTTTGACCCTTGAAAATCAGACTATCCAAGTAAACTTGTCAAAATTTAGATTTTATATAACTGTGTAAGAAAACAAAATTTTAATGAGTATTGCTGGCTAATTGATAAAGGATGTTTGAGAAAATAATAAATTCAAAGATAAACAAAAAATGAAAAATATTGCAGGCTACTTTTGATGAGAAGTACAACAGGAGAACCTGGATAACATAAAAGACTATATTATCAACAAATTAATTAGTTTGTATGGCAAGAAGCTAGTATAAAAGGTATATTGTGTATGTATACATACCTTCTGATGTGCACACCAAGGATGAAATGGGATACAACAAGTTGGAACTCTGCACTCTATACATGAACCCCCAGGTCGGTTACATATTGAGCAAACCTGAACAGGGCAAGGTCACAAAAGAAAAAAATAAATGATCGTTGATGGAGAACATACTTCACCTAGTCTACTGGTAAGAAGATTTAGATTTTTCCAGCTACTGAAAAGTTTTTTACAGAATGCATTCACCAAATAGTAATGGATGGTGAGATTTTTATGATTTTATCTCTTACTCCTGGTGAGTTTAAACTTACAATATTTTTCTTAGCCGGTAAAGCACCAGATACATCGAAAGTGCTCATTGTGTCAACGTTTGGGCATCTTGTACCGGGTGTCCAGAGTCCACAAACCATATGAACCCACTGTTTAGTGGATGGATCCAATACTCCAGCAGTTATGCTGTTATGGGTCTGAAACTTTTCCGGCATGCAATTTTTGCTTTCAGGAAAGTTGGTTTGCATCTGCATATCCAATTTCAAAGCAGCTTTGGGAGAGAAATCGGAGATTATCTCACCAAGAGGAGCTAAACCACATTTGTCAAACTTTGGTACTTCACCTACTGAACTAGGATTAAAAAACTCATTCTCTGTACTTTCAGAAGGAACTGATTTGCCAGAGTAGGATGTTTTACTGACTCTCCAAGCCTTCAACAAACTTTTGACAATATTTTGGCATTTTAGCGCCCGTGTCATGGCTCCACCTCCATATCCACACAAAACACAAACCTGTTTATGCACCAAAAAGATGACAATAAAATGTTAATGGAATAAATTAATTTATCAGCATCCTTTTTTATCTCATTGCAAGTTGAATGAATTAAATATATAAATCCACCTCACATGTGACATGACTGAAGTTATTCAGATGCTATTCAAAAATTACAGACTAATAAAAAAGAACAGATAGTCTGTTGTGACATAAAAAATCAACCCCCCCCCAAAAAAAAAACAAAACAAAAAAGAAAAATCACTAACACCACCCCCAGAAAATAAAAATTTACGGACTACTGTCCAATATTTAACCAGCCCGACCAAATATCAGTAACCAAACATGTACCTTGACAATGAATTATCTACTTTATTTTAATAATTATTATTCCATTGCCAGCAGATACAGTTGGTATACTACCTGGTACACTAATACCAAAATGGCAGTCTAAATAGATCACCAAAACTTGTATCGGACTGGTATTTAAAACCTTATTCATAACTAAAAGGAAGAAGGAAGTAGTATCCCAATTGAAGCTAAACAAATATAAGTTACAGTTGCAGAATGGAATACAGTTGTTTAGTACAAAATGGAAAAAAAGTAAAGAAAAAAAACACAAGTGACAATGCAATTATGGGCTGACCACATTTTCCTTCTCTAATTTAAAGGAATAAACCTATCAAGTTCTTGATCAACTGAGCTGCTGATTTTAACAGTTGGGCAACACATGTTAAGAGAATCAACCACTGTCAGACAATATCTTTGAAAAATGGGCCAAAAGCTTAGTGAAATTTGACTCCATAAAAGTGAAGAGAAATTGAATGGATATTAGTTATACCACTGATATATATATACATATATATATATGTATATGTATATATATGTATATGTATATGTATATATATGTATGTACATATATATGTATGTATATATGTATGTATATATATATGTATATATATATATATATATATTTATTTATTTATTTATTTATTTATTTATTTATTTATTTATATTTATATATATGTATATATGTATATATTTATATGAATATATATATATATATATATATATATATCTAATAAAGCAATGATAAATGAATGCCAAAATGTCCATCTAGTTGATCATTGAGAATATTATTGGAATAATAGTTCATACACCAATGCCAATATGTGTCCCACTAACAGGAACATGCCACAAGTGATATATCCAAGTGAAATGCGAAACAAAATTATACATATGTTAATTCTCATAGTGACACCTACACCTAGATGTACTTAAAATGTCAAAATGGCAGCTTCAATTTCTTCTAAAGCAGTTTCAATATGCATTCTAAAGTATATTTCTTCAATTTCTTCTAAAGCAGTGTCAAAATGGATCAAGTAGGTTAAATAACAATGCAGTAGAATACTTACTACATTCTCATTGGCTTTTTGTTCAGGGACCAGTATTATTGTTGTTTTGACCTTTTCTTGAAGGATTCTCAATTATGCATTCTAGTAACTTTATTTTCCTTAGTCCAGTGATTCTGTTGTTTTGGCCATTTCTTGAAAAAATCTTGAGTAGGAACAGTTGAAATTTTATGCTTTTAGTTGGTTTATGTTTATATTAAAAACAAGATTGATCAGATCAGATGGCCAATTTATATCCATGTAAAACTAAATGACAGATCAGATAAGATCTCCAAATTTAATATTTTAAATAGTATACCACAATGATCCATGACACACAAGTATCATGAATTTGGACTTAAAAAAGGAACATGGTACAAAAAGGCACATAGATTAATCAAAGTCATTTAAAAGTATATGTTTTCTCTCAAATTATTGTCACAAAGAAATTACATAAATAAAGGCACAAGAACATGAGTAATAATCATAAAGAACCAGAAACTATAAAGGGATTATAACTGAGGATGACATTAGCATGTTTAGAAATAGCATCTGCCAGTTGCTTACAATGTTTTGGGAGTTGGCCTTGCATGGCCTACAAGACCAATGCCCTTTTGGAATTTTTGAAACACCATAGCAAGCCTGGTGAACCTACACAAAAATATGCCAAATAAAGAAAAATAATAAAAATTAAACAAAATCGAATGTACACTTTCTATGTCACACACTTTAATCAAGCAGTCATTGCACTCTATCAAATGATTAGCATCGTCTTGATTTGAGCTTCCACAGACACAACAAAATGAATCTGAGTTCAAAAGAAAGGAGGGAAATTTGTACCCTTGGCTGCATCTACATTGACAAATTTATTAGGACAAATAGAGAAGGAAAAGCTTAAGGTCCGATCAGAGTTTGTTAAACATCATTATATCTAGATCCAATTGAAATCCAATGCGACTATCTACCTTCTTCTGCTTACTTGAGACAGCTTGCCAGCATGATCTTGATTGTTCTTAAGCTTGGCAAATGATGGAATATTTGTTGGCAATGCAGATTCTAAAATCTCCCTTGGATGAAGCTTCTCATTTTGATGTTCCACTCCATCTTTAAAATGGGAAAGAAATTACATGACACAAAAATATTTATATCAATGGAATCAGATGGATCCTGACAAGTGCACTGATCCTAGAAAACAGAAAACAACCGTACCACAGGCAACAGGCAAGAATCTTATGTGCAAGATTATTCAAATACTAAAACATTACCTACAGTAGTTGAAGGAAAATCATTTAGCTCATTTTCTGCCTCAATCGATTTTGAGCATTCATTGATTCCAGAAGCCGATAAGCAGGAGTTCTTTGTTGCGTGTCTATGTTTTGCTCCGAATCTATTGAGACTCTGTGTATGAACATCCTTCTGTTTTGGTCTTGACTGGGATTTTAATTGTTTAGGATGCAAACCAGGTCCCAGGACAGAGTCTGTTTCCTTTCCTGCTGACAAAGTATCCAAATATCCACCATTCTTGCTGGAATATCCTTTATTTTCACCTGATATACGAAGAAATTTTGGATTTTGCCCATTCTCAGAACAACTACTTGGCATATCCTTCTCATGTAATAATTTCAAAGATGATAATTCATTGTCTAGGCCCAAACTGGTATTATAGACTTCAACAGTGCTACACCTCCTAGCATTTTTTAGTATCAAACTAAGGGAAATGATCTTTGGAGGCTTTTGATCACCATCTGTTTCCCCACAATAGATGATACCTGAATTTCCACATACAATAGGCCTGCTTTTCTTAGGCAAAGTAGTCTTAATATTGCTAAAAGTATTACCAATACAGTTTAATGACATATATTTGGGTGGTTTTCCAGTTCTTGTAGAATTTTCCTGTTTCAAATATGCAGCCAAAACTTGCTTTGTCTTCTTTCTAGAAGTTTCAACTCTACTAAGAGAATGATCATCATCCAGGATCCGCTTTTCAATGTCCTCCTGCAATTTATGTTGGATACTGAATCTTTCGAAGTTAGACTTGTTGCAGGACAGTGATGACCTCTTTCTCTTTACACTTGAAGATCCACAAGTAGAAAGATGTGTTTTTTTCTTCACACTAACAGGTTGTGGGGAAACTTCTCCTTGTGATCGAGAATGGTCAATTTCTAAATGTCTGAGATTATTAGGGATTTCAGAAGGAAAAGCATAATCAGATAATGGAATTAACATATCTGGTCCATTGAGCTCCATAGACTCGTTTCTATTAGCTGTTTTAGGTGTCCTTTCAAAATTCAGATTCTTATTGACATTCTCTTGATCTGCACAGCATTTATTCATATTCCTAACCCTCTTGGTTTTCAATGGACTCATCAAACAAAGTTCATCAATAAGGCCAACAGAAGAATGACCCGCCAAATGATGGAACCCAGGTGTAGCTACATCCACCTTACCCATTATGTGAATGGTTTCCTCACACTCCCTACCACCAACAGCCTCATCAGATGAGCCACATTTCTCATTCCCTGATCCTTCATCCACCAAGAGATCATGGATCATATTTGTAGTTCTAATATTTGCTGCACAAGAAGTTAAATTATTAACTTCAGTTGAAACCTCAGTTACAACAGGAGCAGATGATCCAGATGACATATTAAACATCTTCTGTGCTCTCGTTGACTGGGAAGATTGACGAGTTCCATCAAACTCTGGAGAACAATCATCAAGTTGATCACCAATACGTTTTGTGGTTTCCAGTGCCTGTGCAATCTTGAAAGTAGAAGAGATATCAGCATCGGCATACACTTTCTTTGGAACATCTCTCCAAAAGGATGTCTTTTGATCATTCCTTGGAACAAACTTATTCTTAGAGCAACCACAATGAGCTAGACAAATTCTTTTTCTGTCTGGTATTAAATAATCCTTATCATGGTCTGGAGTGGCATGCATTACTTTAGCTTGCCCACAAACCCTTCGTTCACTTAAGGCATGAAAAGTTTTATTACCACCTGATGTACAGAAGCCTGAAACACAATATGGAAGTACAGAGGAGCAGCAATGTTGAGATAAGCAAGAATTATGTTCTTTGTGATTGCACATTCCATGCTTAAGACTACCAGTGAAACAATTGCTTCCCAGCCTCCCCAATCTGAGGTAGAGATCAAGAGTGAGGAAAGATATGCTTAAACATCCATCTGGACATTAATAGTACATCCAAGAACTATACTGGGATAGAGATAAAAAATAATTATTCAAAATAAAGCATGAAAACATGATGAAAAAGGTTTACAAGATATAAAATGAACAACAATAACAAAAGCTAACAGCTACAATATGCTTCCAAGATAATGTTTTCCTAACCAAAAAGCATATAACAACAACATAAGTTATAGTGTCATATTAGTAAAATATGATCAGAAACCAATGTAGATTTACTGCTTGTATCTGTGCATTTACGTGTATTCTAAAGATGAAGATACACACACATATATATATAGTCAACTACCCATTTATGTCTCTGTTGAGATATCCAAGGTTATTGGATTGTTTTCCATGTTGTATAAATGATAGATCTCAAGTTCAAGTCCACTAGTGCGTCATGTGTCATTTAATGTATTGTATGTTATGAAGTGATTAACAATAGTACTAACCAAGAAGATGGGAGTTAATTTACACTTGCCCTAACAACATTGGCTGAATCTATGAAATAGATAGTACTGGCAAGGAACATGTCCTGCATACAGCAGTTCCATGCCAATGTCCCACATAAGGTTTCAACAAAAAGAATTACTTACTGAAGCATGAGAACCAATCAGGAAAACAGAAAATCGACAATGTCAAAGTTGATTTAATTACCAAACCAAGAGTATGCCAAATTTATACCAAATGAGCATGCTCATAAGAAAACAGAGCAGCTGTCAGGCATGCTCATGAAAAGATACCTTGTGTATATGCATCAACACTCACATATAGGGTCCACATTATGTTCAATTTAAGCTAACTATAAAAAGATGTCTGCTATAAAATCCAGATCCGGTGACTCTTTTATGCTCCATTAAGAAAGGCTTTCTTAAAAATTCTTTAGATGATCATTTGGGAGTTGCTTATCTCATACAAAGTCCACTAACACATACAAGAGCACTACAGAAGTAGATGGTACCACCTCAAACAAGGTTGCTCATCAACATCACAAATGCAGCAAGTAGAAAACCTTTTACAGTATTTTTCAGAACTTAGTGGAACTCTTTGTGTTGAACCAGTGCAATTGCAGGATCTAGTTGAACCTGCATATTCATCAACATAAGAACATAACTATTCAATGCATGTATAGTAACTTAAAAGCATATGAACAATCACCAGTTTTAGTAATTAAAACAGATATCTCAATTATATATAATACAGACCTGTATGACAAGGATGACCAGGAAAAATATCCATACCACGACCAGATTGACAACTTGGACATGAATGTACAGATTTTATAGCAATTTTGGAGATTTCATGGTAATTTCTGCAGTAATTTCCTTCCCCTGCATCTCTCTGCATTTCCAGATCCTGACAACCATCAAGTTGAGGTTCCATGGATGACAAACAGCATAGTTTGTGATGTTGGGGACTTTTTTTAAGGGAAGTAGAACTTTTCTGTGTAGTTAAACCAACCATGTGCCTAAAAGCAAAATTTTTCAAGTTGACATCCATCAAATGCTGGGTTGTATTTAAAACCTTTTTCTTTGGTTCCAGCGAACACAGGGATGTCGAAGCCAGACTCATTGGAATATCTGAGTTCAAAGAATCATGACCCACCATCTCACTAGGAACTGGATCGGAAGATCCATGAACGGCATGATTACAGTAATCCTTGTTTGAGACAGAGGCTAAATCATGTTGCTTGGGGATTTTACCACCAAGTTTCTGTAACATGCCAGACAGCTGATCTGGATAGAAGGAAGTTTGGCTAGCATCCACAGATACACTAATTTGAGGACACTTCTTACTAAAAGATGTATCAATCTCTCTAGTATTGGCAATTTGGTTATCTTTCACTATGCACACAGATTTCACTATGCCATTATCAGCAGCCAGAAGGCTCTTTCTTTCATCTAAGATATTGAGAAAATCCAACTTACTTGCCTCAGATTTTCTTTCAATACCATGAGTTGCATCTCCTACAGGATTGGAAACTTTAAGTTTAACAGGAGAGTCACCACTAGGCACCCTAGATGGAAGATGATCGCTGCTATTAAAAAAGTTATCAAGAGAAAGAGATGTACTGTTCCCCTCAAGGTGTGAGAGAAACAGTGAAATCAGTGGATTCTTGTTTGCACTGCGACTCAGATCTTCTGATTCAGAATGATTGTAAGTATTAACAGCTGTAGTTGCATGCCGTTCGAGTCTTTTATTTGAACATAATGTCTCTGAAGCAGTGAAATGCAGACTTTGACTAGTCTTCTTTCTATCATAGGCATTATCAACTGCAAAAAGACAAAGCGCTTATCCAACTCTCCAGTAACAGATGCAATTAACCGATAACAAACACTTGAAACAGAATGAATCAAAATATAAAAAGAAAAGAATGCTAACCATCAAAGTTACCTTGTTGCTTTAGTTGCTGATGAAAGTGTGGCTTCTTTGGGTTACATGTGGCTCCAAATTCCAGCACAGGTGTTGGATAGGAACCTGCAAATATATGACATTTCTGAGATGGTTGACCAAGCCTCAATTCTATGTTTGAAGCGCCATCCTTATCAGCAAGAGATGTATCAATGGAGAAGTTGTTACTGCTGATATCACAATCATGGTTTACAGAATTGTTGGCCCACAAACATGGTAGGGCAACAGATTGATCTACAAATTTGGTGTTGTAATTGACACCATCAGTATCTAAATAATGGTCGATAATTTCTTTTCCCTTACATAGAGTTGAATGAAGTTTCTCAGAACCAACACAAGTAGGACTTTGCTTCGCTATCTGCATGGACTGGTTCTTTGACAGAACAGACTTGATAACTTGCTCGGAACTGTGAATCTTCTCTTGGAAAAGATTACATCCATCCAAATTGTACCTCTGATATTCATTATCTTGTACCTTGTTTACAGATTTCTCCTGGGCAGTGTGCCCTACCAATGTGTATGGATGACTAGGTACAACACTATTATTCAAAGGTTCTGCAGATCTCCAAGATCCACCAAATGACTTGATATCACTGATTGTCCCAATGTTATTTACCAAGGTTGGAGCATTACTAGCCTTGGAACCAAAAAAGACACCTTTTGTTGATGAACCACCTGTCCACTCCCATCCACTGATATCATTTGGTGCCAGAATCTAATGAATAAGAGAACAAGAAGCCAGTTTAAAGTTACTAATAAATTTTGCAATGAGAAAACAAGACTTTCAATTGTGAAACATGGTACCATTAGATTGTAACTATTTTGCACCACCCTTCTAGGAAGATTCCAAATGGTACACTTTTGGGTTGATTAGATATTAGTCCCACATATGAAGAGTGTTGCAATTGCACATATGCTTGCATTGCTATTTAACTTAGCATCATTGTGGCATTACAAAATTACAGGATAACACTTCTTGTTATATTTCATAAAACATAAATCATATGGAAACCATAAAATGATGTATGAAGCAGAATAATTATCTTACTGGTTAGCAAAATTAAGGAGCTAAAAGTCCATTTTCTAGCATTGGAATGAAGATCAGAATCTTATCACAAAGATAAATCCTTTTTTTTTATTTCCTACACATCCAGCTTAACACAGGAAACCAGGATGACTAGTAGTGCTGTCTAGAGAGATTTGAATCAGCTGACCACTTCCTCACAAATTTGTCAGTAGCTGTCAACAGGCAACTCGCATGTACTATATATTAAACTTTCAAAAGGTCATAAATAATTACTAATACAAAGATAATGGTGCACATCTACATTGAACAATGGGCAGCTGAAAAATGAAAATCTACAAAGAATTTGGCAGCAGTACATGTGAGCATACAATAGGATAATTTCAGTGTGCTTGTGAATGATGATGCTCATATCCTTAAGCAATCAGCAAATATGAGTATGATTCAGTACAGCCTACAATAAATATTTAACTTTTTAGTTTGAAGCAGAGAAAGCAGTCAAAAGTGAACAAGAGGGAGCTGATCATCGTGACAAAGTAGTGTATAGACACCTCAAAGAGATGATAGATTCTACATGTTACATTAGAGAAGCTTTTCAACCTCAGCATGGGAAAACTTGCATCTATTTTTCAGGTGATATAATGTTTTAGAAAATGCTCATACATGGGGCACAGGCTTCGCTTTGTCAAGAGACTGATTGCAAGTCTAAATTAATTTGATTCTAACCCTAACTCCAAGAACATCTGTTGAAACTGTTGCTTCAGCAAAGGAGTACTTGCATAAAAAGAAAAGACATTAGTGGATTACAGATTCTATGTACAGTAATATAAATGAAAACTTCTCGAAAATTCCATAAAATGAAATTTGTGAAAGCATTACCCCTAAGCATAGCTTGCACCAATGTGATATACTCATTCCATTCTCCATATAGACAGCCTCACCAGGGTTCGCTGAAGGTGATCCAGAATGCTGCAAGAAAAACATGTGAAGAAGACCATTCTCCCTATGAGAGTGACAAAGGAAAAGCCCAACATGAGAAGAATCACAAGTTTCTGATTCTTTACAAGGCTACCTCACAAAATTTGGCGACAGACATGCGACAGCTATGACAAAAGCATATAACTTCAAAAAGTCCTTTGTTGCCCATAAATAATTCCCCAACTGTCAGGATGTCAGAAAGCACTTTTATGAATTTTAGCTTGTTGTTATCAAGTTATGTTACACAAAACATCAGACAGAGATGTATAACATAATGTCAACAAGATCATTGATGTACGTAGAGAAACAGAAATAATTTATGCAAGTCAACCACAACTTAGTGAAGAGAGCAAGTGGTATACTAACCAGTGTTTCTGCAGAAGACAAGAGGATGTCCTCTAAGAAACGGAGAATTGTTATTGGAAACAGGAGGCTTAGCTTCAAATGAAACAATTCGTGAAGCTTGAACATCCATGGTTGCATGCTTATTGCCATTTGCTGACTTACTTGAAGTAAGCCATCCACTCCTTGTAGAATTCAATGCAAATCCTGTATTGCTACACTTAGATGATTGTGGGGAAACTAGTTCAATAGAGTCCATATCATGGTAAGAATTCCCTGCAACTTGAGCACTATTATGTACCGAAGCAGAATTTACAGACGGCCTCGATGCAACAAAAGAGGAAAGCTCATTCCAATTTCCTGGGGCATTATCTCCATGATTTTCAGGCAGAGGTGGGATATTTATAGAAGGGACCACACAACCACTACCACTTAGAATCTTATCATCATTGCTAACTTGAGGCTTGGCTACATCCATTCTTGAATTTGGCAACTGAGAAAACTTGCCAGACAAAAGAGCAAGAAATGAATTACCCAGCTCTGTCTTCCCCAATCTGTAGGAACTTAAGTTGAATGTATCACTAGCCGAAGCCTCTTGACTTCTTACTTGATCCTTCAAAACAGCCTCTTGTGCAAGAAAAGAAGGGAAATGATGGCGTAAATTCATAGAAACCTGCAGAGTAAGACAATGCTGTTAACCATGTACATAAATTCATACAAAAACTTCACTTTATGGATTGTATGGCATACCATACAAGTCTATTGGGCACCCAGTATTACACAAACCAGCATTTAAATGCTAGCCCTTTATCTTAAGGGCATGTAACATCATCACTTTAATAAAAAATGAGTCACATAATCAGAAATAACAAAGAATACATATATCTGAAAAAAGGATAGAAAAAAACCATCAGATAGGTGCTCATTCTAATCAATGATTATGGATTTCTAACAGTGGGTGCACTTGCACATTCATCTAATTGCATTAAGCACCTTCCAGACCCTCCCAATGTCAAACAACCCTACTCGAGAAACTCCATACATAAAACCTAAATTTCCTGGAGTTTGTTCACCACAATACCCCTCTATATCTCATGTAAGTTCTTTCTTATTCCTCCCAAGAGTGTCAATCTATGTGCTTTTGCTGTTTATTATTATCAAACATTTCCAGAAAAATCTTATTTTTCCCTCTGAAAAGGTTGAAAACAAGTTTAGTCCTATTTTTGCCTTGCATATGAGAGAAAAAACAACGAGAAAGACTAAAGCAGTGGCAAATTTATGCTTCACATTTATTTAGATGCCCCTCTCAGGGCCAAACAACAATCTGAAACTTATTGCATATTTGAAACCAGAATTATACAGTATACTTCTATCCATATCGCTACATGGTCATACATTGCATGGCTTGGAGCATATGTTTGTTCAGCTTACAGATGTACACAGTTCCTGCTATTACAAAAGGTCCTCATTCGCGATATCTGATGATCTTGGCAATAGACGGCTTGTATTCATGAAGGATTTACAATGTTAAGTAGAAAAAGCTCCTATAGGCAGAAATTTAAGAGCATGATATATTTGTGGCATAGTTAAAGCCCAAGAATTCTACGAACACGCTGCCAGAGTATGTTGGTCTCGTGCTAGTGAAGTTGCTCCACCTAATACTCCCAGCGACTTCTCCGTTAATACCACTCTATGTAAAGACATGCAGCGTGGGCGCAAAGTTACAATAATATCAAAAGAGCTGTTCCAACCAATGCCACCATAACAGCACCGAACAGCCAGAAACGACGCATGCATTGCACGAATATCCACCAAAACCCCCATCCCCCACGAAAAGAATCAACCTTCACCAACTCTTGATGCTAACCCCCTCCCCACCTCTCGAAGAGGAAGAAGCAGGATACCTGACCCGCGGACGCCTGCGGGAGGGGCAGTTGCTGCGGCGGCACAGTCGGAGTCGAAGCCGGAGCCGGCAATGGCGGAAGCGGCGGCGGCGGCGCCACGCATTTGGCGAGCCAGGAGTCGTCCATGGCCGCCCACCGTCCCTCCTACCTTTCCCCCATTACCTCATCCCGCCACCGCGGAGCCACAGAACACGGGAAGAGAGAAGGGTTTCGGAAAGACGAGAGTGTGGTTTCGGCTGCCACAAAGAGGGATTGATTGGACGAAACAAACAGCAAGCGGAGAAGAGGAAGAAGAAATAGATAACGAAGAGAGAGATTTTTAGGGATTTTAGCCCTCCACTCTGTTGTTGAGTTCCTTTTCTCCGGTTGGTCCCTCGCTCTGACCTTTTCTTGCTCTCTGCGCTCTGCTCCCTCTGCAACTCGACAGGAAGGGAGAGGAAAAAAAGGAAAGGGTAAAACAGTAATTGAATCAGAACGAAAAAAATGCATTCCTACGCACTCACTTACCCTGTTAAAGAATGGCGGGCCATGTTGTAGGCCCAGGTAAATTTCCAATCATCACGAACGCATACGGACGGGTGACGAACGAGGGCGTACGCGGATCGTTGCTCGGACGAGAGAAATGATGATGAGATAGGCGGGTTAGCACGTGATCGGAAACGTTGGGTGTTGTGAGCCGTCTGATGCTATCGGCCTTTTTCTTCGTGTCCTCGCGATTGCGGTCGAGGGGTATTCTGGGAAGAGCAGAACAGCCTTCTTTCTCTTGTTTCATATGTGATGGGTTAGTGGAGTGACATGAGCTGCAATTATTGCCGGAGACGGCACTGTGACTTATCATCCCGAACCCGATCCGGAATCCAATGTGAACATCCTGATGCGGATCCTAATCCCTATTCATCAACCGATCCGATTGCGTTCGGATCCTCCGTCAACGTCCGATAATAGATATATGATCCCCATTTTTTAATATTATATTTAAATCTTCTATCTTATGGGTTGATATTGTTCCCATAAACTGTAATAAGTAATATATATTAGTTTGAAAGATGAAAAGAAGAATACGATTATTCAATTCAAAATTCTAATAAAAAAAAAAAGGACAAACCACCATCTCACTATTTGATATCATTTCAAATTATAATCATTATTTAATAAATATATTTAGTTTCATATTAGTTGAAAAGTAAAAAAATGAAAGACTTATAAACTCGTCCAATCATTCTCACTATCAAGTATGTCTTTTGGGATTTATGAATCCTGAAAATATAAACTCATACATGCACATTTAAAATAGATAATTTCTTACGAGCATATGGATTACATCAATGATGATGAAATATTAATTTATCATAATGATATTAAAAGGATAAGGGTTTATAAATTAGTTGGATCACTCTTTTAAGACTCATGAGTTTTGGAAGGATAAAATTATATGAGCATGTTCAAAATGGATAATTTCTTATACTCTTACGATCAAATCAATAATGATGAAATATTAATTTATCACTATTAATTCGGAAGAAAAGATAAAAGAAATTACGGTAGTGATGACTTAATTATTTACACGTACGTGCGGGTTGGATGCAGGCCTTAACGAAGGGACTCAAAACCGTAAAAGTAGATGGGATCCTCTCCAATTATTCTATTAATTACTCGTCCTTCGAATTCCAAAACCCTACCGTCCGTTGACTCTGCGTAGAACAAGTGAGCGTCCTCCGTGGGTCCCCATGATCGATTTGTACAGGATCCTCACTCGAACCGCAATCGCCCTAAACCTTAACCCAACGCGCGCACCTCGCAAGACGCCCCGACGAGAAATCATCCGCTGTAGCATACCCCTTCCCTCCTCTTCGACCTCGGTGTGTGATGCTCATGTTTTGTTTTGATTTTTTCTATTTCCTAGGGTTGTCGTCGTACTCTTCTCTTTCGCTGCATTTTCATTTGCTGCTCTTACACATTTTGGTGTTTGGTTTATAGATATGGAGGCGTCGTGCCGAAGCGAGAGTAGTGGAGCTGCTGCCCTTCGCGGTGGAGTTCCTCGTGGGGGAGATTGTCTTGGCCGTGGGAAGGTCTCTCCTTTGACTTCTTCTAGCGGTATGGCTGTCCCTTTAGTTCGATATCCTGATTTCGCTTTTTGGTTGTTTGATTGCTAAAGTTACGAATTTGATGATCCGAGAAGTGGACGTACGGCTTTCCTTTGTGTTAAGCGACATAAGTTGTGAGCTTTCGAGCTTCTTAAAGTGCTTCATCGTGTGTTCTTTAGGTTAATGGTACGAACATGTTTGTTTGGTGTATCAAACAAGGTCCTTCTTTGGTATTTTGTTTTAATTGGGAGATTTTTGTTTCTCTTTGGCCAGTGACTGCACGGTCTATTCCCAGCTTAGAAATGGGTGTTTGCACCGTTTGGAAATGGATCTGAGGTTTTGTGTGATATCAAGGTACAAGGGTTAGGATAACTTCTGGAGTCTCTCTCCTTGTGTGTGTAGTTGCATTGCTTTCAAAGTTGTTGGCTTTATTTTATCCAAATTGTGGATTTTGGAAGGACACATGGGTAATGTCCGAGTGGTGACAGTATGAATAGCATTGACTACAAGAACAAGAATAAATTCGTGAGTTCCAACTATTTATGGTCGGCTACATGGATCTTTTGTCGTCATTGAGATCTATAAAAAGTCACATGCTTAGTTAAGTTAAAAGTACATATAGTTTCTATTAAAGTATTTTTAAGTCTTTTTTTATTTCTCCTCGTACTATTAATATTAATTATTTTATTTTTTTTTATTATCTCATTCAGAAGTCTCATCAGCATATGCCCATATCATCTTAAATGATTTTTTCTTATCTTATCCTCTGTCAAAGTAATACCTAGGTATTTACAAATAAAAGTATTTCTTTTTTTATCTTTTCTAGTAACTCCATATATCCATTTCAACGTTCCTATCTTGACAACACAGATTTTTTATATATATTTTTTCTTAATTGCATAATACTCAGATTCATAAAGTATCGTTGATCTCACAACTATCTTATAAAATTTATCTTTTAATCTCAAAGGTATCCAATGATCATACATGAGTTCTGATGCCCCTCGCCATTTTAATCATCCTGTTTTTACTCTATAAATTATATCTTCATCGATCTTTCTATCTTATTGAATAATTGATTCAGCATATCTAAAACTTTTACTTAAAAGGATCTTTTGTCTATCCAATTTAATTATATTCTCTTGTCTACTTTTAGAATCACTAAATTTATATATTTATATATATATATATATATATACAAGGTCTGTAATTTCGTACCATACCGAAGTTTCGACGTTCGCTCGGTATGGTACGAAACTGTATACCGAGTGGTATACCGTTCGGTATATCGCTCGATATATATATATATATATATATATATATATATATATAAGATTATATATATATATATTTATATATATATATATTTATATATATTTATTTATTTAAAAGGCGACGTCGCATCGCCTCGGTGACGTCACCTTTTCCTTCCCCACGCGAGGTGACGTCGCCTCGTTTATATATATATATATATATATATATATATATATATATATATATATATATTCAATTTTAGTCCTACTTAATCTAAAACTTTTAGTTTCTGGGACTTGCCTTCATAACTCAAGTTTATAATTAATTCCACTTAGGCTCTCATCAATTAAGATAATATCATCAGCAAATAACATACACTAAAGAAATCTATTATATAAGTGATTAGTAAGTTCATCCATAATCAATGTGAAAAGCTAGGGACTTAATGTGGATTCGTAGTATAATCCTATGTTAATAGGATACTCGCTAGACACGCTTCTTATAGTTCTAACACTAGTAACTATATTATCATACATATCTTTAATAACATCAATATAATTAGTGGATGCATTTTTCTTTTATAAAATCCACCATAATAAATCTCTAGGAACCCTATTATAGGTTTTCTCTAGGTCAATAAAAATCATATACAAATCTTTCTTTTTCTCCCTATACTTTTTCATGAATTGTCTTAATAGATAAATAGTTTCTAAGATCGATCTTCTAGGCATAAAACCAAATTGATTTTCAAATATATTTGTTTCAAGTCTTATCCTATTTTCAATAACTCTTTTCTAAAGTTTGACAATATGGCTTATGCTTTTAATTCTTCTATAATTTGAATAATTTTGTATGTTACCCCTTATTTTTATAAATTGGTACTAAAAACTCTTTTTCTATTCATCAATTATCCTTTTGAATATCATGATTTTGATAAATAAGTTAGTTAATCAAGCTACTCGTTCTCTAAACATTTCCAAACCTGGATACCATCAAGCTCGACACTCTTAGCTATTTTCATCTTCTTTAATGTATCTTTTACTTCATTAGTTTTAATTTTATAAATAAATCTATGATTATTAAATCTATCACTATTGTTTATCATTAAATTTAAGTCCTGTGTGGAATATTCATTAAATAATTTATAAAAATAGTTTATTCTTAAATAATTTATAATTTTTTTTCATATTTTATTAATCTCATTATTATTAACAAATATTATTTGATCTTCATCTTTAATACATCTAATATTACTTAATCGTTATATTTTTTTCCCTAGCTTTAGCATTTTAATATATATCTTTTTTTCGTCATCTTTACTACCTAATTTATTATAAAAATTATCATAAGCCTTATATCTTGTCATACTAACCACTTTTTTAGCCTCTTTTTTTATATCTTTTATATCTTTTAAATTTTTTCTCATTTTTATAATTTTGCCAATCTTTAAAACATGATCTTTTAGTAAAAACTATTTTTTGAGCTTCCTCGTACCACCACTTACTTTCCCTTAATATTACACCTTTATCTTTAGTTTTACCATAATTTCTTTTGTTAAGCTCCTAATCTTATTAACTATCTTAGTCCGAATAATATTAATATTATCCTCATCTAAATTCGAAGTCACCTTCCTTTTATCTTATTCTTGAACGTGCTTACATTATCATTTTTAAAATTCCATCATCTAGTCCTAGTAATTTTTTTAATTTTTTATTCTTTTATTTTCTATAGTAAATATCTAATACCATCAACCTATGTCGATTAGCCAAACTTTTGCTAAGTATAACTTTATAATCCTTACAAATACTTTTATCTACCATTTTAGTGAGAAAAAAGTCTATTTGACTACAGTTGTGACCACTCTTTGGAGTAATTAAATGTTCATCTCTCTTCTTAGAGCGGGTATTTACAAAGTTGCAAAATCCAAAATCATACAGTCATCTTCATTTTTCTTTCCATAATCGAAGCCCTCATTCACCCCTTTATATTCATCATATGTTTTCCATACATGACCATTCAAATATCTTCCAATTATAAGTTTTTCGGTTATTAACATTCTTTGAATGAT